AAAAACAAAAAATAATTTTAAGGCCCGTTTTGATTTTAAAATCGAAAGACAAAGTTCAAAGAGTCTGTCACCAATCTTTGTTTAGAGTGTGATTGAATCAAATTATATATGAACAATCCTTTTATTTAAGGAATTTAAATCAATCATGTCAATACATTCCACATATATGAGATTACATGAGATATATAAAGAAATCAAAAGAGAATATTCTGATTAACATTAAACCCTGATTTTCTTGTCACTCAAATTAAGTTGCCCAGACAAAATTAAATAATTACACTTACAAGCGATGGTACCTAGCAATTTTGTTTATTATCCTAAATTTTCAAAGATAAAATTAGTATTGATACCTACATAATAATATTGATACCCAAACCTTATAATTTATTTTTAAAAATTCGAGCCTCATTTTGGTATCGATACCCTTACAAGGGCTTATTCGATCGATTTGATTTAGTTTAGCTTTTCAATAAAAGATAAATCGAACCGCACTTTACAGTTTTTAAAAAATGAAATAAAACCGAAAGTGAATGACATAAAAACAACGATTTTCGGTTCAATTCATCAGTTTGCGTTTTTGATTTTTTATTGTTCCCTATTTTTCAAGCTTAAAGGTTAAATCGAGTACAAACATACATCTTTAAATTCACAAAAATATTATTACTTTTAAGATTTTATTTATTTTGAGTTTGTCTTATAATAAATTCAAAATGAATTTGTTTTGTATAATTATTTTTTTAATTCAGTTTAATTTGGAACAAACAATTTTCATATGAAAAAAATGAAACCAAACCGAATTATAAAATTATATTTTTAAATAGAACAACAAAATGAAAATCCTGAATTACATTAAACTGCATAACTCGGTTGCTCAATTTTCTCAGCCCTAACCCTTGCTAAGTAAAGTGTTTTCATGTTTATGAAGCATGTCCATTTCATTTTTTTAATAAACGTAGCATGTTACCTGTGTGCATATGAGTTGTAATAGTGGTGATAACAATTTAATCAAGCAGATAAAACTAAAATCAGAGGTGGGAAGTTATTTATGCAGTTCAGTTGGTACAGTTAAGTTTGTCCAGAAAAACGAATCCACTATATCTTCCCTATAACCCCCTCATTACAACTCGATCTACCTTAAAAATTACGGACCATATATTATACAATTTGTATGTACTCCACGCTCTTACTCCGAAAGGCTAAATTCATACATAAAAGAGAGTAAAAATAATCAAAATGCATTCAATTACTAATGAAAATGAACTGCTTTGTTCTCAACTCCATCTCAAACCCTTTTATATGCGACTGCGACTAAACAAAACTAGTCAGATCTCCACTATTATCTCAAAATGGAAATTCCTTAACCGCTTCCTTATCACCAACCTTCGTTATCTTAAATAAGAAAATTGATAATCTCGCATTAGATGAACTCTAGTTATATCTATTTTCATTTTACAATCAAACCCTCATTTATTATTTTATCTATAAATAAATAAATAAAATTGCCGATATTCTAATGATAATAAAAATGTCTCCAATGTCGTATGCCAAATGATGTAATATATGTGAGGTAGGTTTATTTATACCGTATAATTTTTTTTTAAATTTTACATATTTTATTGAGAATAACCATATTCTCTGTATATAGGTAAATAAATGCGGAAGGGGCGTCGGGAGGGCTGGTGACTCTGTGGGACAGAGACGTGTTGGTCGTTAACAGTATATCAGCTCATAGAAGATTTGTAGCGTTAAAAGGCAGTCTAGTTGGGGATAATAGGGTGAAAGAAGAGAGTTCTTTCAGTAGTTGGTTTCCTTTATTTCTAATTTGAACGCTCCGGTAATTGTGGGAGGGGATTTTAACGCTGTTAGGAAGGTGTCCGAAAGAACAGGTAGCCAATTTAATTTGTCTGCATCGAGAATTTTCGAAGGTTTTATTAATGCCTGTGATCTGTTTGAGGTGCCGAATCAAGGTGCTTTGTTTACATGGTTCAGGGGTGGTGCTGAGGTAGTGGCAAGTAGGTTTGATAGATTCTTGTTGTCATCAGAAATTTTCAGTATGTGGCCCCATTTGGTTCAATCTGTTTTGCCGAGAGGATTATCCGACCATAATCCAATTGTTTTGAAAGACAAGAGGTTAAGGAAGCTTTTTAGACCTTTCAAATGGTTTAATTACTGGGCAAATGACTGTGTGTTGGCCGATAGAATTAGAGAGATTTTTGTGCGTAACAAAAGGGTGGGCCTTGAAAAAATCTTGTCGATTACAAAGAATGCAACCAAAGTCAGAAACAGAGAAGTCAAAGAGAGTTATCCCGAAAATGCAATAGACATTCGTAATAAGATTGATATGCTAGAAGAAAGATGGTTGGCGGATCCGAGTGATTTTCATTATCAGTAGGAGATTATTTCATTGAAGTCAAGTCTTTGGGCTGTAGAGAGAAAGGAGGAACGTGAATGGCTACAAAATCTAGGCTTAGGTTGTTCAAGGAGGGCGATAAAAATAAGAAATTTTTCCATCTTACAGCAACTTCTAGGGGTCGGAAAAATCAGATTAATAAGCTGAAATTTCAGAACATGATCTATAAGAATTAGATGGGTATTCAGAAAGCTTTTTTCAAATATTTTAGTGATGGTTTTAATGAGGTAAAAACAATTCATTTGAAGAGATTTGATATCTCGTTAAAGAGATTAAATGCTGCTTCTAGAAGATTCATTGAGAGCCCTTTTTCGGAAGATGAGGTCTGGTTTGTAATAAAGTCGTCTGATGGATCTAGAGCGCCAGGCCCGGATGGTTTCAGCTTGGATTTTTTTAAGAGATTTTAGAAGTATATTAAAGGTGAAGTAATGAAGTTTATTGAGGACTTCTATTAGGGCAGAGTAGTAGATTTATCCTTTAATAAATCCTTCATTGCGCTTATTCCGAAGAAAGCGGAGACTTTACTTCCTGAAGACTTCAGACCAATTTCTTTAGTTGAAAACATGTATAAGATAGTTTCCCGTTTGTTGGCTAAGAGGCTGAGTTGTTGTATTGCCGAAGTAATTGGAGAGAATCAATTCGCCTTTATTGATGGGAAACAAATAGCTGATTGTAGTTTGATTGTGAACGAGGTTATAAACGGGTTAATCAAAAGTAAGAAAGAAGCAATGCTTTTTAAGGTTGACTTTAGCAAAGCATATGATACGGTAGATTGGCTATTTTTAAACTTGATTTTAAAGAGAATGGGTTTCGGCAGTAGATGGAGAAAATGGATAAATTTCTGTATTTCTACCCTGTCGATTGTTGTCCTAGTAAATGGGTGTCCGTCAAGTAGTTTCTCAATCAAGAGGGGTATTCGGCAAGGCTGCCCGCTGTTGCCACTGCTCTTTACCATTGTTGGCGAGGCGCTCAGCGGTATGATTAAGAAGGCTTTGGACTTGGGCCTTTGTTATGGAATGGTAGTAGGGGATGCTGGCTTGGTTTTATCACATATTCAATTTGTGGATGATGTTCTTATTTTTTCTAATTTAGAAGTTGCGCCGATCTTAAATTTCAACCGGGTTCTTAAATTATTTGAAGTGGCTACGGGTCTGAAGCTTAATTTGGAAAAAAACCAAGTTGTTTGGAATCAATGTGGATGATTGTACAGTTAGGAGTTGGGCAGATTTGTTATTTTATGGTTGGGTGAAGCTGCCTTCGTCTTACTTGGGTCTTCCGTTGGGGCATCAAAAGAATTCGAAGTCATTATGGCAGCCCATTTTAGATAAAGTCAATACTCGACTTCGAAGTTGGAAATGTAAGATGTTATCTTTGGGTGGCAGGCTAACTCTTATTAATTATGCTCTAGTCAACTTCCATGTGTTTTATATGTCTATATTCCCTATGCCTAAATCTATCTCTGAGAGGATTAATAGATGCATAGCAAACTTTGTTTGGAATTCCAAGTTTGACAGGTGCATTCATTGGGTTAAATGGGACAGCATATGTAGGCCTAAATCGTATGGGGGTTTGGGAATTTTTGATGTAAAACTTAGAAATCGTTCCCTGCTAAATAAATGGATTTGGAGGTTTAGTTTGGAAACGGATAGTCTATGAAGAAAGATTGTGGTGGCTAGGTATAATTATGACATGGAATCGTTTGTTCCCAAAGTTGTGAATAGTAAAAATTCCTCCTGGGTTTGGCGTTTTATTGTTAATCAGGTAGGGGTTTTGGGTTCTGATTTTTTTTCCAAACTGAGATTTGTCATGGGTGATGGGAGCAAGATTGACTTCTGGACAGATTTCTAGACTAAAAAACCTTCTCTAAAAATTTCTTTTTCGGGAATTTTTGGTTTAGTAGTTAAAAAATGCGGTAAGATAAAAGATTTCAGGTGCTAGGTGAATGGTATATGGGAATGGAGGATTGAGTTGAGAAGAGAATTATTTGAATGGGAGAAGCCAATCTAGTGTGATTTTATCCTTGTTTTGAACAAAGTTTTATCTGCTAATCAAGGTCTTGATAGAGTTTTCTGGACCAGTACGCAGAACGATATCTACCATCCTAAATCTTTCTGTTTAAATATGGCTTGTGATGGTAGGCTAGAAGATCCTGTGTGGAAAATGGTTTGGCTTAAGTTTGTGTTATGGTTTGGGATAGATAGACGGGAATTTGAGAAATAGGTAATAGGAATAGAGAGAAATTTTAGAGATTTCAGAGAAGAATTGCTTGTTCATTCATATCATAAGGAAAATACATCATCACAACTCGTTTTATTTAATTACAATCTATCAGAATCTTAAGGATGCCAGCTGGCTGTCCTTTGTAACTGAATCTAACAAATTCATTCCTTCTTCATTTGTTTGGCAGATATGGACTATTGGGCTCAGCTATTTTAATTCCCTTGGGCCGCTCCAGCTGTTTCATATCCAATCTACTCCTGCTGATCTGCTTCAGAGGTAAGCTATCTTTATTTCCTTCACGTGCCAGAATCCCCAATCCCTCATTCTCAATCCCTAACCCTCGTCTCATTTCCCCCAATTCTCTCTTACCCTATTCGTGTTCTCGCCTTTCTCCTCCCACCATGACAATACCCACCCCTCGAGAGGATCCTTGTCCCCAAGGATCAAAAGATGGAAACTGACCACGGAGCACCGAATAATCTTCCCAGGTGTCATGCGAAGCATCTAGGTTAGTCCATCGAACGAGTAACTGAGTAACTGGCCTGTTGTTTCGATTGATAATTCTTCTGCCCAAAACTTGACTTGGTTCTATGCGAAACTGACCTTCTTCATCTACCACAGAAGGCTCTGTCGAAGATGATGTTGCTGGCCCAATATGCCTCTTCAACATACTGACATGAAAGATTGGGTGTAAACGAGAGTTCTCTGGTAATTCTAATTTATACGCGACTTCTCCGATTCTTTCAATAATTTTGTATGGCCCATAAAACTTAGCTGCTAACTTCAATTTTTTTCTCAGGGCAAGGGATGTTTGATGATAGGGTTGTAACTTCAGGTAAACCTTATCCCCAACTGTAAAATTTCTCTTTGTACATTTTTTATCTGCCTGTTGCTTCATTCTATTAACAGCCTTCTAGTTGATGTTTCACCAATTGCCTGATTTCTTCCCTGCTTTTCATAAATTCACCAACAGAATGCACTGTAGCCTCTGGTTGCCAAACCATGGTAGGAGGTTTATAACCATATAGAGCCTGAAAAGGTGTTAGGTTTAAGGTTGTGTGGTAGGTAGTATTATACCACCACTCAGCATGAGCCAACCACTTAGCCCACTATTTAGGTTGTAAAAAACAGAGTCCTCTTAGATATTGCTCAAGACATTGATTAACCCTATCTGTCTGACCATCTATTTCAGGATGGTAAGCAGTACTGAATAGAGTTGTAGTACCCAACTGTTTCATTAACTCTCTCCAAAATAGACTAGTAAATGTTTTATCCATATCTGAAATAGCCATCTTAGATTGACCATGGAGCTTGTAGACATTGTCTAGATATAGCTTAGCAACCTCAGCTGCAGTGTGGGGATGAGACAATGCCATAAATGGCTATATTTGGTAAACTTGTCAACTATCACCAATATACAATTTTTTCTTAAGGAAGTAGGTAAGCCCTCAATAAAATCCATAGTAATCACCTCCCAAGCTTGATGAGGAATAGGAAGGGGCTGTAGCAGTCCTGGTTTAGATATATGCTCCACCTTAATTTGCTGACAAACTGTGCAGCATCTGATATAAATGACTACCATAGCTTTAAGCTTAGGCCAATAAAAATAGGACCTAATCCTCTGATAAGTATCTTGAGTCCTTAGAATGACCTCCATGAGGGGAATCATGTAAAACTTGAAGAATTTGGAGTCTAAGGGATCCATTAGAACCAATGTAAACTCTGTCTTTAAATCTAAGTATCCCTTTTAATAATTTCCAATTAGGATCAACATTAGGTGACACAATCAAGATATTAATCCAATCATCAACTAATTTATCCTCTTTATAGCTGTTTTCAACATCTTGTACCCAGCTAGGAATAAGCAAAATAGTTCCCATAGCAAGACAATAACTAGCATCTTCCCATTGCCTGGACAAGGCATCTGCTATAGTATTGGACTTACCTTTTCTGTACTGTATAAAGTAGTCCAATCCCAACAACTTAGTCAACCCTTTCTTTTGGATTATGGTGGTCAGTTTCTGCTATAGTAGATACTTCAGTGGCTCATGATGAGTTTTAATAATAAAAGGCTTACTTTCCAAGTAATGCCTCCACTTAGAAACTGCTAATAAAATAGCAAGATATTCCCTTTCATAAATAGAGAGGGCAGCATGTCTAGGACTTAGGGCCTTACTTAGATAAGCAATAGGTATGCCCTCTTGAGATAACACAGCATCAATTCCTCCTGAACTAGCATCTGTTTCCAAACAGAAACTTTTACTGAAATCAGGTAAGGCTAAAACATGAGCAACACACATAGCCTGTTTTAACAACTCAAAAGCATTGAATGCTGCAGTGGTCCACTGAAAATTATCCTTAGTAAGTAGTTGAGTCAAAGGCTTACTTATGGCACCATAATCTTTAATAAACCTCCTGTAATAACCAGTCAATCCCAAAAATCCACCCAGAGACTTTAAAGATCTAGGAAGAGGCCAATTCTTCATAGCTTCTATCTTACTAGGGTCTGTAGCTACTCCATCTGCTGAAATAATGTGCCCCAAGTATTCCACCTGAGTCTGTCCAAAGAAACATTTGGACAGCTTTGCAAATAACTGGTTAACTTGCAAAACCTCCAAAACTAGTTGTAAGTGAGTAATATGTTCTGCCATAGAATTACTATAAACTAGGATATCATCAAAGAACACCAAAACAAACTTTCTAAGAAATGCTTTAAATAAATCATTCATTAATGCTTGAAATGTGGAAGGAGCATTAGTAAGACCAAAGGGCATTACCTTGAATTCATAATGCCCTTGATGAGTCGTAAATGCTGTTTTGTAGATATCCCCCCTCCTTAATTCTGATTTGCCAATAGCCTGACCTTAAGTCAATCTTGGAAAAATAAACTGCCCCATAGAGCTCATCCAATAGATCCTCCACCACAGGAATAGGAAACTTATCCTTTACTGTGAGATTGTTTAATTGCCTATAATCAACACAAAACCGCCAAGTACCATCCTTCTTTTTAATTAAAAGACATGGAGAAGCAAAGGGACTCTTAGTTGGCTGGATAATAGAGGAAGACAACATAGCAGCAATTTGTTGTTCCACTTTTGTTTTCTGGTTATGAGGAAATCTGTATGGTCTCAAATTGATAGGACTAGACCCATGTTTGAGAGGAATAGCATGATCATGAGCTCTTCTAGGTGGTAACCCTTTAGGTTCAGTAAAAATAGTGCTATACCTCTTTAAAAGAGGTTGAAGAGCTGTAAGAATGAGTTTAGGAGTCTCCATAATACTCAATAAGACCACATGTCCTAATATAGCTTCATCTGAGGCTGTCATTTTCAGTAAGGTAGCACCTGAAATCTGCTGCAAAAACAGTGAAGGTTGCTACCCTTGTATAACAATATTCTCACCCTGATGTTGAAAGCTCATTGTCATATGATTGAAGTCCATCAAAATTGGACTAAAGACCTTCATCCAATCAACCCCTAACACCATATCACTTCCCCCTAATTTAAGGAGTCTAAAGTCATGTATGAAAGAGTGTCATTGCATCTGCCACTCCACATTATTGCATCTTGCTGAACTATATAGTTGTTGACCATTAGTTACTGTTATAGCCAAAGGGTATGGAGTTAGGAATTGAATGCCAGCATCAGCCCATTGTGGTGTCAAAAAACTGTGCATACTGCCACTGTCAATGAGTATGTTTAAAGGTCTGCCTTGAATTGTCCCTTGAATCTGCAATGTGTTATGACTAATACACCCAGTAATTGCATTCATAGAAATTTCCAAGCTTTCCTCCTCTTGCATGATTTGCTGGTCTGAGTCAGTAGGGACAGATTCTGTAGGAATAAGATTTTCCTCTTCAATCATCATATTGAAGTTTCTTGTTTTACATTGATGGCCTGGCTGAAATTTTTCTCCACATTTAAAATAAAGATTATTCTGTCTTCTATAATCAATGAGACTCTGTTTAGTATTGGAATTTGGTGTGGATTTAGTAGGCAGTGGTACTGAAGTTGTCTTGGAAGTAATAATAGGGTTTGGGTAGGGTGGGACTTTAAAGGAATATCTCAACTTTCTGTTTTAAAACTCCACAGATAACTCATAGAGCTTAGCTTGTTTACATGCCTCAGATAAATGTTTAGGATCTAAAGCTTTTACTCTATGTTTGATGTCTTCTCTAAGTCCACTTATAAAAAGTGACACAAAAAACTCCTCGCCCAAAGTATGATTCTGTAACAGCATGTGTGGTTGCAACTTCTCAAACCTTTCTTGATAATCTTCAACAGATCCTTTCTGAGTAAGCTTAGTGAATTCCTCCACAATGTCAGAAAAAGACCTATCACTAAATCTATGACATAAATCAGCTTCAAACTCATGCCATGTTACATGATGCTTCTGTATAATATAGCCATCAAACCATATTTCAGCTTTTCCTGTAAGATACATAGTAGCAACTTCCACCCTCTGATCTACAGGAACATTGCATAAGGAAAAATACTTCAAACACTTCTACAACCATCCCCTAGGATTTATCCCTTCAAAAAATGGTAACTCAATTTTGGGTCTATGCCACATAGTCCCTACACCGTTAAAAGAACTCCCTGGTCCCCTGTTTTCAACTTCCATTCCTATAATAGGTCTATTATTACTGTTTTCACCCACTTGATTCTCAGGCCTAGAACCATTCTTAAGGGCTAAACAAGCATCAGGCTTGTCTTTCAATATTCCCGGTTCATCCGTTTTATAAGTGAATCTTGATTTATCCTTTACTACAGTCACCAAAACAGGATTTTTCTCCCCATTTTTAGAGTTATCAGGAGTGTTTATCTGATCACCTTCAGACTGCTCTTGTTCTCCATCTCTGCCAGTTAAAATCTTTAAGAGTTTTTCCACACATCCTTGGTTGGTAGCCATTCTAGTCTCCATTGCAGTAATTATGTTCTCTTGGGCCTCCCACCATTTAGGTGGATTAGCATCATCGTTACTCTTTTTCACCAATGTTGTCAATTCTTCCATCTGTTTCTGTAACCCAGCTAAATCTGCCTCCATACTCTGATTTTTCTTTGTCATGCTCGTGATTTACTTGCCAGAACCGAAGCTCTCGATACCAATTGTTATGGTTTGGGATAGATAGACGGGAATTTGAGAAATAGGTAATAGGAATAGAGAGAAATTTTAGAGATTTCAGAGAAGAATTGCTTGTTCATTCACATCATAAGGAAAATACATCATCACAGCTCGTTTTATTTAGTTACAATCTATCAGAATCTTAAGGATGCCAGTTGGCTATCCTTTGTAACTGAATCTAACAAATTCATTCATTCTTCATTTGTTTGGCAGATATGGACTATTGGGCTCAGCTATTTTAATTCCCTTGGGCCGCTCCAACTGCTTCATATCCAATCTACTCCTGCTGATCTGCTCCAGAGGTAAGTTATCTTTATTTCCTTCATGTGCCATAATCCCTAATCCCTCATTCTCAATCCCTAACCCTCGTCTTATTTCCCCCAATTCTCTCTTACCCTCTTCGTGTTCTCGTTTCTCCTCCCACCATGACAGTTTGTTCCTAGTAAGGTTTCGGCCTTTGTGTGGAAAGCAGTAATTCAAAGACTGTCGGTCATGCTTGAATTGGATAAAAGAGGAGTAATTTGTTCAGACCAGCTATTTTGTGTATTTTGTAATAGCGATCCGGAAGCAATTAATCATGTCCTATGTCATTGTACAGTAATTTGGGAAGTTTGGCAACGTTGGTGTAGCGTTTGGAAAATTAATCTGGTGTTTCCAAATAATGTAAAAGATTTATTGGAGGCATGGTTTTCTCAAAAAATTGGGAAGAGGGTTCAGATTTATGAAAACTTGGTTTTTTTTGGGTTGCAGTGGGTGATTTGGATTTGTAGAAATAAGATCAGATTTTTAGGAGTATCTCTTTCGGTCGATCATATTTTTCACAAAGTTTTGGTGCAGATTGGGATCTGGGCTAATAGCCTTTGGCCAAACTTCATTCCAGTAGTGAATGATTTTGTGAGCAACCCTGAAGCTTTCGTTCATGGTCCTTAATTCTGAACTCTGATACTGCACCTATTGCTGTTCGTTTCTGCCCACCTGTTTTGATTCTGTTTATGCATTAGTTTTTGTGGTTCCCTGTTACAGTGTGCTTTGTTTTTTCTCTGGGTTTGCCTTGTCCAGATACTTATTGTCCATGGTGGTTCGGATTGGTTCATTTGGAGCTAAGCTCTGGGGTGTAGACAGTACCATAGTATGATTCATTGTTGTTGTTATTTGTCTCCTGCTATGTCAGTGTATTCCCATCCTAAGTCGAACTCTTTTTCCTCCGTATAGGTTTAGGGTGGTTTTTTATTGAGGCGCTTGAGATGGTTATTTTGTAAGCTCTTCAATTCGAAGATTCAATACAAAGTACCCTTTTTTCAAAAAAAAAAGTAAATAAATAGGTAGGATTCGTTAGCACAATGTAAATTTTACATACTTTTGGGATTGTTGGATAACGAAAATGAATGGATGGGATTAACAGTAAAATTATTAAATTAATGAAATCAATGAATAAGATTGAAAATTAAACAACTCACATTATTTATTTTTTACCCGTAAAAATCTCTTTATTTTTTTAACTTTTAATTAAATCATGGATCTATATTCATACAATGATTCTAAATCAATAGAAAATTAAAAATATTATACTTTCTAAATCCATCAAAGTAGTAAAAAATAATTCGTTTTTCCAATAGGATTTGGATTTAAACAGTTGCATCTGCATAATATGTGTTGTTAATGAACTAATTTTTTTTAACATAATTACTACCTTATAATCATCCCAAATTATTTAAATACATTATATATCTCTTAATCAAATGTTTGATTGAATATTTGATTGGTTTATAACATGATTCATTTTCTTGGAAAGGCAAGCTTATTGGAGTCCCGTTATCCCTCTTTTATGTTTTTTAATAAAAAAATCCTAAAATTCGTTGAGCATAGGGTAGAAGTAAGTATTTGAAGGAAGGATAAGAAAGCAATTAGTGTACGCCACCTATTTGTTTTGACGGGACGATACTCTGTATTTAAAGCCTCAAAGCAACGCCTTGTCATCCAGATAAATTCCTGCCAATCCCATTGTTGAATTTTTTGTGATGAATTTGTTCAATCTCATCCCAATTTGGTTCAATTTTCAAGCCTAATAGGTGAAATTCAAAGTGGGGCTCATTTCCAACTCATATATCATAGGATATGAATCTGATCCACTTATGCCCAATTCTCAGCCAATCAGCTATCCCTTTCTTTCCATGCAAGTTGTTGTTTATTTTCACTGATTTATATTTTTTCCTGTATAAAATATGTAGAGTGGTTGGAGACTATCCCGTTCCGTGATGGACTACACTAGAAAATATGTGTTTTTAAAATTTAATTGTTTGGGACTTCAGATTTTTTATGTCTTAAGAAAAAGTATTTTTGTAATTTTCCCTTTCTTTTTCTGTTTGTTTTCCTAGAAAAATGAATGGAAGGAAGACGATGAATTGAGGTCGCATGTCTCGTATTCATTAAACAAACCCTTTTTAATGGGCAACTTCAAAATGAGAACTAAATACAGTAAATCATTAGGATGCTACTTTTACCCAAAAACTTTAGTCCCTCAAAGACG